AAGATTAGTACGGAAAGGTAAGATGGTTTGACGAACACCACCCGCTGGTCATCACATGAATAAAGTGACAGTCCCGTCACTTACGTCACCAAAACCTTTCTGCCAGACACGTTGGGCACATACCTGTATTACAAAGGTGAGTACGTGTCACAGGCATGCGGCTTTGTGGCATAGGTGATTAACTCTTTATATCTACTTAGGAATGGCGAGAACAGATATAAGTAATTTTGAAACTAGAGCGGCAAGAAAAGGCTCACATTGACAGCATTGACCGGACTAATGGAAATAATAGATATCAGGGTCCCAGCAGGAATCAAACCCGAGCTTTCTGCGGTGCAATTAAGTATTCTACCACAGACTCACGCCAGATGTCTGTACTGCTTCGGGAGAATACATTATTCACGCGTAATGTTTGTGAAACGTCTATTGTGTGTCCAATGCTGAATACCCTATTTTATAAGCATTACATATCTACTCATATGACACAGCCATCATGTTGTGTTAATGCTAACATCAGTTATGCACCATCCGTTGAAGTAGACTCATGTAGGTGTGTCCAGGCCCGCCATCCTTCTAACATTGCTTCTCGATTCAGGTGTTGCTAGCACCCATGTTGCTGTATGTATCGATGCGCCCCACGATTAAAGAACTGAATATTGAAAACATAGGTGACTGTTCAACGTATGTTTGAACGTACAACTACTGTGCACATATGTAGCGACATTTCGTTTTGTTTCGCTGTATAGAAAAATGATGGCACAGTCGCCTTCCATCCGCGTGCTTCGCATATCAACGAATGCGAAGGTAGGTGGAATCGGAAAAACTTTTTTGCATTAAAAGCGGGTTTTATGTGCCAAAAAGGCAGGCGAAACAGTGTTCTTAGCATCCAACGTCGTCAATATAGACGCTATGATTTTTCACAGAACTGCAAATAGTTTCAAAACAAAGTCATACCTGACTTGTATCTACATCAACGAAGCCGTGCAATTATATGCTTGTCCACACGGTTTTCCACACATGGCCCTTCCTTTTATTCCGCGGCATGGTCAGTCGAGTCTACACTGTCGAATCAACACACCCCTCGGTCTCTCGCTCGCTTTTCAGCAGGGTTGGGAAGGGAATTGCCACAGAAGAGAGTCAGAGCATTAAAAACTATATAAGCAAGAGTTGCGTCCCATTGCCAGGTCCGACTCGCTTAACTATAATTCATCCCCTGCTTGTGCAAACTATAAAAGTAAACTAGAAACAAAACTGAGGCCGTGCACACCATACTTTAATTGCATTGCTGAGTACCTCAGGGGACGAATTGTAACTCATGATTGCGGAGTTAGACAAGCAGAGCAGAAAGTAGGTCTTAAAATTATTCTGCAGAAAACGAAAGTAATGTACAACCTCGGAAGAGAACAGCGTTTCGAGGCAGGTGAGAAACCCTTTTCGAAAAAGGGCGTGCCTAGAGCCGCGGATGTGAAGTACAGTCTGCCGCCATTGTGAGGGCACCTCAAAAGACGACGCAGGCTGTGTGTCCCGGTGACGCTGATGCGCGTTTCTTGCATTGCACACAGAAACCTCATGTGTTTCTGCAGTACGCGGACCACGTCAGGATAGCACACCGATGAGAGTCTCTTGCAGGGCGGATCCATGCATTGCCAGTCATAACAAGCCAAACTGCTCTTTCAACCCGTTGAAGGGTACAAAATACTGCTCATTGTGCAATGGAAGCAGCTCGTAAAGCTTATGAGAGCGTACTAGGCGCTCGATAAAGCTAGAAAGCGGTGCGATTGGAGCGGATGGTACGAAGAACTAGCCGCCAACACAAACATCACAGCACTCACGCATTCGACGGCTCACTTTCCATGCCATTATGATGGGGCTAGCTATTCACGCTCCTTTGCGAAGCGAAACTGACGAAAAGCTCACCGTCAGGTGGTGTATTTTTGAAAATAGTCTATAGTGCACTTGAAGTTAAAAAGACTTTTTCTACTTAGGACAGGTAATATTTTTGGGGCCGAACCACGAGTATATATATAACTAGAAGAATAAGAATGGAGTGGAGCACACTTGGCAAGTACTCTCGAATTATGACAGGCAGATTGCCCCTATGCCTCAAGAAAAGGGTATATAACAGCTGCATCTTGCCGGTACTTAGCTACGGAGCAGAAACCTGGAGACTTACGAAAAGGGTTTAGCTTAAATTGAGGACGACGCAGCGAGCAATGGAAAGGAAACTAATAGGTGTATCTTCAAGAGACCAGAAGAAAACAGAGTGGATTAGGAATCAAACCGGGGTTAAGGATATCATAGTTGAAATCAAGAAGAGGAAATGTACTTGGACCGGGCATGTAGCACGTAGACAGGATAACCACTGGTCATTAAGGGTAACTAACTGGATTCCTAGAGAAGGCAAGCGGGTTAGGGGGGAACAGATGGTTAGGTGGGCAGATGAATTTAGGAAGTTGGCGGGTATAAATTGGCAGCAGCAAGCACAGAACCGAGTTGACTGGCGGAACTTGGGAGAGGCCTTCGTCCTGTGGTCGACGTAGTCAGGCTGATAATGATGATGATGCTGACAATCATAATGATGACGACGGTGATGATGATTATGATCATAATGATGACACCATATCTTGACAACGAGAGTGTTTTATTACGTGGTCCACCAAGACTTCAGTGACGAACTGTACACGATCACATGGCAAAGTAACAGTTCCGCCAACGGGAGTCGAGTCCGCGACTTCTCGGTCCACTACAAAAGATGCCTGGTACACTATCCACTGCTCCAAGATCACACACTCTGAAGGGCTCACAAACAGACCTTTTTCATCTCTCACTTTTTTCTCACTATGCTCTTGGTCGGTGGGGTTGTGACGCTTTCTGGGAATGGTCATTGGAACCGATGCATCGTCACCCTGGCCTTTGCGATTAGCTCTTACAATGCATCGCTGTTACGCATTTGTCGTAATTTTGGCAACATTTAAACACACTGCGAGTTGGTGACCTCTGCCCAAGTGTCGTAAAGTCCCTAAATCACTGGCGTCACTCATAGGATGCAGTCATGCTAAACTCCGATGTGCGCCTGTCTTACCTGCCTTGAACGCGTACCACGATCTCCACCTAGGCACGCCCTAAGGGAGTATGCGCAGTTGATATGTGAAAAGAAAACGAAAACGCCCGAGTGGCCGGAAACCCACGACCACACGTGTCGAAGATGTTAACATTTGTTCTGCCCCATCCGGCCACCGCTGCTTTAGTTACATTGAAAATTCATTTCATTTTGCCTGCTTTCTCAGAAGTAAAGTTCGTATCAAATTCTAGTTATTCACACAAAGTAGTAAAAATAAACAGCTCACACTTTTTCAAACGTTGTTTTGGAGATAAGCCAGGAGAAACAACACGAGTGAATGCACCGGCAGTGACATCGGAGGATTCAACCAGTTGCACACCAAGCCAGACACGGTGGGGCATGCCGACTCTCTGCTGCTGCACCATCTATTTCCAAAGTTCTCGGCAATCGTAATCCAAAAGCAGGCTCTCGATGAACGCTTCCTCGTTGAGGCCGTGAAGCCTCACGTGCTGCGCGGTAGTTTGCAATTTGAGCCGATATGAGCCACTGCCGAGCCTTTGCCGCCATGTTGAATCTGCGGCTTTCTCGTCAGGTCACGCGCTTTTATTTAGCGCAACCAAGGTCGTCAACCGAAAACCTGATCCGGTTTCACTTGGTGGAAAAAACGGTCTCAGACCAATTTTTGCGCGTCGGCCGCGCTACATGGTTTTCCGGTCACTTGGGCGGCGAAACGAGTGAGTATCCGGAGAGTTTCGCCACTTTCACTCTTTTCAATGCCAAGTGTGAACGTGCCCTAGGATACGTCTCCGCTGGGCTACAGGTGACATAAGACTGGCGTTGCGTTTCCCCTAGTTCAGCTATCATGTTCAATAACTTTCAAACATGCCGCGCGATGCCTATACCTTGTCTTAAGTTTCGCGCTGAAGCAGCGATGCTCTTCTTGCGGTCACACCACTTTGGCTGATTATTATCACCCAGCTTGCGACTACAGCTACCACAAGAATTTGCCTACTCATCAATCATGGTGGTTATTTGTTGTCATAAAGTATCCGGTGCATCTACAATAAATTGCGTTAATAATGCCACCTAATATACAATGTTTTTGCCGACACCTCGAGAAAGGAGATTGATACTTATCGTATGGCCAGCCACACACACCACGTGGTCGCTTCAATTAGTACCTAACCATTTTACTGGTTTCTTAGGAGGTGATTCCATTTTCTTTAGGCATCACCTCTTGTAAAGTACCATACGTTTAGTTCTTCCCCAATATAATGGTAAAAATTTAAACAGCGAAATTTATGATTGTCAGTCTAGAGAACTAACTACGCTCCAAGACAACGAAGCCTACATCACGTGTCGACGCGAGAACCAATGCCACGTGAGGCATGTGGTGGCGGTAGTGTGCGTAATTCAATGATTCCGATTCAGCATGTTCTTCCCTTATCGGTGCAAATGCATTCATCTCATTAGTTCGGGATAATGTGCAGTATCGCTCGCACTGGCACCTGCGGACGCAATGCTGTTGTGCATGCGATGCTATAGCTAATAGAATTCTTTTCGTTACACCTTGCACATAGAGTTCCTCTCGTTTTTGCCACATACTCTATTTCATGCTGACATAAAAAACATGAAGCATGGCGCTATTATCTCATAGTAGAGGAAAAAACACTCTAAAAGACAATCACACCTGCGACAGGCCAGATTCAGTATGAATTGTACATTCTTAACCTGAAAATGGCCAATACATTATACACTCAGTGATCACGAGCGAACAAATGTTTTCATAATCGCATTATGCCGATGCGGTTCTTACATATATTTATATAAAAAACTGCCCTTCAAATAACTCGTGCCTGCAGGAAAAAGTGGGCAAGGAAAATAAATCATAAGGCCAAAGCAAGGTTGTTGGATTTTTTTTTTTCAGCCAACCCTGACACTCCACCAGAAAAACGTAACGCACACACACAACTGAGTGCTGCCATGTCGTTTGTTTCTGCGCTTTCCGTGGTTCCCATGGCTTCTCGCTGGAGCACTACTTCTGCTCTTCTAGGAATATTATTTGTGGGATTCTATATAGGTAAGCATCAGAATAACGCTTGTGTAAATTTGCGCTTTCAAATATAAAGCTTCACCCCTAGCAAAGGTTAGCTTTGAGGCATACTCGAACATACTCGAACGTCTTAAGCGCCTGTGTGTACAATGCTGCAAATAATTTTTCAGCGCTCATCAGTGGCAGTGCCACTGTATATCACTACAGCACATAACTCCAGTGGTTACCTGGAAAACATTCCATGGTGACTCTTGAATTATGTAAGCTTCATTCCCACTTCGTTGATGTGCCTGCATTGGTTGCTGAAACACAGTAACGTCTGAAGAGCCACACGGCTATTCATTTGGCTTTTGTTGGTGACGTCACTACACATAACTTTTTTTTCTAAAGCACGTTCGCTTTGTGCGTGACAGCAATGATTTTCTAATTTTTGTTCGGTAGTTTTAACAGCGCGGTAGACACCACTATTTAGATAAATTACTTTTTTTATTAGCGCGAGATAATGCCTCCTGCTTGAGTGTGGTTTGCCAGAGATTACATAGGTGACGCTTACATAATGTGGTTTGTGAACTGATTAGTTGATCGAAAAAACGAACCGTGTATTTTTTATTATGAGTGAATTCATAATGCATGTAAGTATGATTTCGTAAAAAGTGAATAACCTTGATCATCGAATTCATCCAAACATCTTCTGCCAGCGAAAAAAAATCTGGCAGATTCCGCGTACCTGGGAATCCACGTTATGCGAAGCATGCTCAGGGAAGGTGACCGTATTGCATATTTTATTGAGCGACACGTCATGAAATGACAATTATTACTTATTTATTTATTTATTTGCAAATACTGCAGGCCCTATTCGGGCCCAAGCAGGAGTGGGTAACAAATATCAGGGACAAAACAGAATATAAAAATATAAGAAAATACAAAAACTGGGAACAAAAATAAGGAAATTCTCAACATCAAGGAAAATATAAATAATACATAGCAATAATAGCATTCATACCGAAACAGAAAAAAATCTCAGCACTAATGAGGAACTTAATATATTGCATAATGAAAATCAAGTGTTAGGTCATTGACGAGATGGGCGAACGATTGTGTCGTGTCCGCATTAACGACCACCTGAGGTAACTTGTTCCATAGTAAAAAAGCATGAGGGAATAATGAGAACTGATGAACGTTCAGTTGAGTGAATGGTTGTCTAACTGTTTTATTATGATGAAGACGTTCAAAGCGCACGGACGGGTTGGTTATGTAGCGATATATGTACAAATGTTGCTCGCACAGACATCTGTTGAAGAGTTGCAGATGTTTATCTAACCAGTTGTTTGCATTTGCGCAACTATGCACACTGGAACATGCATATTAGTATATTAGTAACACCAGGAGCTCATATGAAGCGTTGATGCTTGTGGGGGCGCTGGCCCTGGACACTGCGGCCTAAATCAACTTCAGTGCAAGGCAACTAACCACAATTGGCGTTAACCCGACGTTACGGCTGTATCAATTGAGTACCTATGTAATGTTTATAAAATTAAGTAGGGAGCACTACAATCACTATTGACGTTTCATGAAGGTTTGCGTCTATTTGAAAAGTTATTCCGATACCTGGCGTGTCTATACCTCTGTGGTACAATGCTTCATTGCCACGCAGAATGATTGGATTCGATTCCAGCTGGGACCCTGAAATTTATGGTTTCCATTCGTCAGGTCAACGTCACCAATGTCGGGTATTTTTAACGCTCGCGCGCTAAAACTGCCAATGTGTGTTATCATCGTTCCTGGGTAGACACTAACCCCCGTATTCATAAACGCTCCTCGACTCGACTTTCAGCCTTCACTTGACAGAGCTGGGCACTGCGCCACAGCTCGGCTCAAAATGACGCTGCGCTACTCAAGAATCACAGCAGATTGTTGCTGATATGCAATGAATTGCCGTGCCTAGAGACGGCTCTCCCATCAGCTTTCTCAGGGGAAGGTGAAGCGTTGAGTGAAGGGACGTTCTAGAATACGGGGGTAAGTGTCAATCACTTGCGGCACATACCAAAGTACCAGCGGCACATACCGCCCGTAGGTGTTCTCCACTGTCTGGCGGGAAGTGTTTGACGATCTATGCGATGAAATTGTAACATTATTATTGTCTTGACCATTGCGTCATACTTGTCAAACCATCTCACCCTACCATGCTAATTTTAGATCACGCCAAGTTATGACGGTGACCACGAGAGTGCCCAAGCGTAAGCGGATAGAGAGATAAAAAAAATATGCTCAAAGTTGCCGAAGTTCGCTAAGAAATGCTTTGCATATAAAATAGTTGACAGTCTTACAGCAAAAAAAAAAAAAACGCTTCATTAAAGGAAGTCCACTAGCTTGAGGTGTAGTATTCAAGGCAATTTTAGTGGATTGGTTGCTGCTGCCTAAAGATCACGTGGCCATAACAAGAGCAATGCCACCCCCACGCTGTTGGAAAAGCCATTTACAGTTCGTGCATTGAAGCTACTATCGCAGGTTTCTCGCCCGCATGCTCATCGACAGCTAGTCGCTTATAAGCTCCTGGCTAGTATGAACTTTTATTCAATCGAAAGTAATCGCAGTTGTATTAAATCCATGCGAAAAGAAAGAATTTCATGGCAGTCTGTTTCCACAGACAAACGTTTCTTACCAACGAGGTTTCTATACAAGTAAAATTGCTCACTTCAAAGCTAAAGCACTTAGTGCTGGCATCGTGCGCGACGCTGCCGCAACTACCAGCTTATAATATTTGCTGGCGTTATTGAGAGTAAGGTGAAGGAAGAAGATTTTTGAACTATATATATATATATATATATATATATATATATATATATATATATATATATATATATATATATATCCTTTTTTGTGTTTCTATTATTGCTCACATTTAGATATTTTTGGATATTTGGGGGCTTTCACTAGCAGACAAAGTAGATGTTGACGAGTTAATTTCATTATTCTGTATGGACTCCTTCAGGGCTTTAAATTTTATTTGCGCAATACCGATTCACCAAGTCAGTTTTTCTATTAACAAATAAAATTTCGGGATAATGGCGACGCGGGCGGCATTTATCACCCCTGCAAGAAATGCAAAACTACATAAGTCTTTCATAGATTATGCAGCCATTGTTGTTCGTGGTATGACTGTATATGAAAGAGAATTCTGAAAGGCCTGTCTTTATAAAAACAAGAAAAATCACGAATACTACTGTGTCGGCGATGTCATGTAATCAATGCGCAAAGAATATGCCTATACCACGAGCACCAATGAAATCTCAAAGTATATTCACGCTTTGCGGGAGATAATGAGGATGGGCATGCACCTAATATTTTGGGTGACATAGCATGTTTTGATATAGCAGTCTCTTGCACTGTGATACTTTTTTGCGCACGCTCTGTATATATCCTGCTGACTTTCCTTAAAGGAACCATTCACTGATCAGCAGGAAATCTTAGGAATATAACCTTAATAATTAGATATAACATGTGTAATTCAGCTGACAAGTTCAAAGAAATCTGCTTCCATAGTTCATTATCAGGCATATCTTCTTTCCAACAATATTTGACACGTAAGTTATATGTAATTCTTATGGTGATACACATATGTACTGAACTTTGACACTAATGAGGCCTAGAAAGAACACGGAAACTAGATGAGACAAACATCCAGTATAATGTTTTACTCGATCGTTCTTGTTGGTATATATTGAAGTAAAAAACATAATACGAACAATTGAACACGTCCCAGGTACCTTGCGAATTGATATGTTACGCATAACATGTCGGGTGAAGGTGACCATACTGTATTTTTAATCGAGCGACAAGTTATGAAATGGTGCTCTATATACATAAAGTGTGATTTTTTTATAAAAAGGACACAGGAGCGCGTGGCGTGCGCGCTCGGGCTGCTACTGGCAGCGCCTTTAAGTGGAAGCGAGAAGAACCACGGCCTCTTATCGCGTCATCTCGCGGTGACCTAAACAAGCAGTCAATAATGATTTGGAACCACTGGCAAGGCTGCAAAGTCCTCCTCCTTCAAGAAGATTAGGCAACAGCCCGGTAATCAACTTGAAGGGGGAGCGACTTCCAATCTTGCCGCTCGTTCTATTACCATTACCTGCTTGTTTTGCTCGCCGCAAAATAACGCGAAAAGAGGCCGCGGTTGCTCTCACTCCCTCTTGAACGCGCTCCCAGCAGCCGCCTCTTGAACGCGCACCCAGCAGCCGCCTGAGCACAGAGGAGACGCGCTCCTGTGTTGCCTTTCATAAAAATTGACACTGTACAAATGTTCCACAAACAGACATATGTTCAACAGCTGCAGATGGTTATATAAACTGTTGTCTCTTTGTGCGCAATGATGCCAACAGGCACATGAGCCTGTTGGCATCACCAGAACAGATAAGCTGATATGGAGCGCTGGTGCTTGCGAACGTTGTATTCTTGGACGCTGCTAAATAAATGAACTTTAGCGCATGGCACCTAAATACTATGTAGGTTTACGCGACGTGGTGGCTTCATAGTAGGAGTATACATGAAATGTTTATAAAATGAGATGGCCAGCACTGCAACCGCAATTGAAGTTTCACGAACACTAGATGCTATTTGAAAAGTAGTTCCGAAAACTGACTCAGAACGCTGTGGTAGAATGCATGATTGCCACGCAGAGTGCTGGGGTTCTATTCCTGCTGGGGCCTGGTATTTATTGCTTCTATTCGTTGTATCGATGCTGCTGATGTCAACTTATTCTCAACGATCGCGCGTAAAATTTATTTAGGTGTGTTCTCGCTGTTCTTGCGTATATAGATACTAAGTTACAATCACCTGTGGATCATACCCACATACCAGTGGCGCAAACCCGCCCGCAGGTATGTGCCACTGTCTGGTGAGAAGTCTTTGACGACGTGCGCGGCGGGAATGTGTTGATCAGCGCGTCCTATTCGTCAAACCACTTTACCCTCCCATTCTAATTTTGGTTCACGCCAACCTAAAGGGGTGATCACGAGAACACCCACAAGAAAGCGGCTGGATAGATAGGTAAATACGCAGATAGACGCCGTTAGTGTGAGTAGTAGGTGAAGAAATGTAGGCATTGAAAATATGGTAGTTAGTCAGTACAGCCTCTATCGTACAGACATGCAGCGCTGTTTTGTCGTGGAAAATTAGTAATGTAGTATCCCGCCCAACAAAAGACGCTACTAGAGCCTCTAGATAGCACTCAAAAATAGAAGTGGGCTTGTACGTTTGAGTAACATGTGTTGCAGTGGATAAATATTTAACTTAGTGTCTTTTACTTCGCAGTAGGAATTAATTATGACAACTAGTAGGCAATCACAATTTCACCTCTTCAAACACTGCTTCAGCAAGCCATAATCCACGATTATGCTAAAGCCTATTGGTCTGTGCTCAAAAGCCCCGGCACAACCTAAGCTTAGCACTTCAGCACACGATTGCGTACGCCCCTGCTCAATCCAGTGACAACAGTACTGAAAGTTGGGTGAGTTGGTACTCATTCATGACTTCTTTGCGCAAACACGTACACGGACACAAGGAAAAGCGGCAAACAACATGGGCGCAAACTCACAATTAGTTTATTTTGAACAACGAACTGTATTTATATCTTCACGTAGCCCACACGCCCCCCCCCCATCGGTGGATCCAGGAACAAACGAGATAACCTAAAGAAAGCTTATTCAGCGCTACGTCATGATAAGAACCACAAAACAACAAAAATTGAAAAATTCACGCATCTGCAGACGGATTGTTGCACGTGCCTTTCAAAAAGTCAAATTCTTTATCGGACATGGTGACGGAAGCTTGGCCAACACATTTTTCTTCCATGTTTCTAATATGGAATGCTTCAATCAACTCCCTGTTAATTTTTCTCTTGTGAGTTGACAGAATCTTTGTGTCTGAAAAAATTGGTACGCACGAACAAGACTTGCAGTGATCCACCAGATGTGTTCGTCCTGAACTACGTAATGCCGATTCGTGCTCCCTCAACCTTGTGTTTACACACCTTCCAGTTTGCCCGACATAAGATCTGCCACAGCTGAACGGAACCTGGTACACCAGTGCTATTCTGCAAGACCGGTATTGTTGGCTGTGTTTCATCTGGCAGCTGTTCTTATTCTGCGTAGTGCCAGACTCCACCATGTTCCGAAGTCGTGGACACAACTTTGACAGCTTGTTGGGTGCTGTAAAAACCGAGGTTACTCCGTATATCGCTGCTACGTTCTTCAATGGGACAACCTATGAAGATATGGGAGAACTGCAAGCTTCCTTTTTTCACTTTGTATTCTTCTGGGAATTCTTTCCGTCCCTTTTATCACTGGGATAAGTTTTTTGCAAATAGTGCTCAGCAAATGGCGGGGATACCCAGCTGCCCTGAGCCTGCTTAGCTGGTCCTGAAAGCTGGAAGCAATCTCGTGTACACATCACTGAAGCAACAAAGATCTAAAGCACGAGGATGCTAACGCATTTTTTATTACTTTTGAGTGTCTAGATGCAAAATTTAGCAGCGGTGTTTTGGCTCCTGGACTATACCGCCAACACACATGATCTGTATTGAAGAGCAACTTGGTGTCCAGAAACTGTAGAGACTTGTCTTGTACAAACTCTATTGTGAACTTCAGCCCAAAGGAATTCTCTCTAAACACCTTAGGAACATTGAAGACGTTCTGGTTATAGTTATCTTTTGGTACGAGTACAAGATAGTCGTCCACGTACCGGAAAACGTGTTCCGCAGTCCCTGCTAGACTATCTGACACTTTTCTATCAACGCCACTGAGGAACATGTCACTTAGGATGGGTGCTACAGCCGACCCGATACATACTCCAGCCTTCTACACATATAGGTCCTTGCCAACACCAACAACAGTGGACTGTAAATACACCACGAGCAGTTCCAGAAATGCCTCCACTGTTAACCCGCACCTTGACCGGAACTCCAACTCGTCGTTGTGTTGCGTGATGCAAACTTTTACGCTCTCCACTAGTTCACTGTGTGGAAGCGAATAGTAGAGAACTTCTACATCAATACTCGCTGCACTCAGGCGTGACGGGTTATCTTTGCGAAGGAAGTCAACCAGGGCTTGCGAGTTGCGGATTCGGTAGGGGTCATTATTTTTAGGGCAGACAACTGGCCATGTAGAAAGCGGGAGACCACATCGAGCCACGTGTGTCTTTCTGATACGATTGCTCAAAACGGACCGTCATTCTTGTGCATTTTGGCAACGAAAAACATGTCAAGCTGCATTCCTTGTGCTTTCTTGATATTTGCTGCGACTGCGTCGAGTCCCAGACTTGACAATAACTGAAGTGCACTCTTCTTTACGTTGGCCGTCTTGGCCGGCACTTTCTTAAAATTTTTCTCAACGGCTGCGCTAGCCTTTTCTGCGAACAGGCTTTCTGACGGCACCACAAAATGGCCTCCTTTATCCGAGAGAACTAGCCTCAGTTTTTTTTCCGCAAAAAAGGACAAAAGTGGTCGAACACTCACAGGCCTTTGGCGTTGATTCCTTGTCCGAGACACTAAATCCACGCATTCAGACAAGCACCCTGGGCGAAGCTCTTCTTCTACGTTTCTTGACAACTGCCGGCAAAACGCGAGCTTATCCACAGGAGACGGTGACACTTTCAGTGCGTACTTCTGACCTCTTTCAAGCACCTGGATGTGCTTAGCAGGAATGTTGTGTTCACCTATAACTAATACTTCTACCTAGAACTAATACCTGCGGGCTAAATCCAGTGACTTTAGCCCGCAGCCTACGGCTTCCTGCTACGCGTCTTTCACATCTCCCAGAAAACAACCACAATGATCATGAAGAGGCAGTAAGCCTAAACTGCACGATTCCGCCTATCTGGAGTGCGTTCTTGGAGTTCTTATTACTACATAAGAGACACCCATATATTTTCAGTAAGAGGCGGCGTTGCCTACGTACCACAATGTCGTCCCCAGAGGGATTATTGCATGTTTCAGCATTAAAAAAAAAGGCATACCTGCACGGAAGGCGCAGCACAGTCTCAGCGAAAGCTCGCAGAGTGACCTTTCAGAGCCTTTTCTAAACACTCATTGGGTAACTACGGCAAGCACACTTCCTTGATACCTACTAAGGCAATAATAATATTTTTAGTAGTTAGGCAGGCATTCGCTATGCTATTTTTCGTCATTCTTCTGAGAAGCGTGGTATTCGCTGAACAAAAAAACTCAGCGGTGGTATTCGCTGAGTTTTGTGCTAATTGTTCATGTAGTGGCTCTCAACAATGAGGAAATACGGCTCAAGTGTGTATACGCCACATTTAATAGGTGAAAGAGAACAAGCTCTTGTAATGAGTTGGAGCAGTGGACGACCCACTCGTTATGCGATTCACATTGTGTGACGCCTGGTCGTTCTTTTTATGTTCTAAAACGCTTTATTACTGATATTAACGCGATTACTTTGTCGACTTCAAGCCTGCCTATGGCCAGTTTAGAAACAATTTCGAAGCATAGGCGTGGCTCAGAGGTAGAATACTGGGCTACCACGCAGCAGACTCGGGCTCGCATTCCAGTGTGTCCTTAATGATTTTATGTACTGAGTTTTTTTTTCTTATTTCCTGCCATACTGATTGCGGGTGCCACAGGTGGTGGCGGCAGACAACTAGGGCAGCGCACGTGACTCGTGTTCTGATCTCATAACAGCTTTCTCTGTAAAAGGGCTAGCAATGTGTTGGCATTCATTCTCTTAACTTGCAGGACAAGGAGTACGCGCTTTTGAAAAGTAAGATTCACCAAGATTTTTTTCTTGTCGTACTCATGGTTTCATGGTCTTTTTCAAGTTATGTTTAAATACTTTGCGTTCTCTTGTCACATTGGTGTGAAGATCGTACATGGTAGTATATATATTTTGTTCACTTGTAATTTACCTTAATTTTATGGTTAAGTATTGCTCCAATTCTGGGTCCGAGTTAGTTTTCGCGGTGTTTTTTAAAACAAGTTTGTGGAAAACTCCTATGCTGCCTCTATCAATACCCTCCTCAGACTTTCGATAAATGTTGCGTTTATCTTTTTCTTTCTTCACTACAAATATTTGAGCCTTCTGACAGAGGTAAACGTACCACCTAGGAAGACATTATACACTGTAATCCCACGTGATTTGCGCTCGATTCCGGATGGAGGCGTCAAGACTGCAGATCGCCCAGAGATCCTAAAGGTTTAAAGTAGGTGAAGAGTGAGCCGAAAGCCAGACTTCTGACTTTAGCAGCGAAAGTCCAGGTTACGTTCGTAACCTTAAATTATTCAGTGGCAGCGCTAGTTTCGAACAGCATCACTACACATTTGAAGCATGCTTAAGGAAGAAATATGGGGGGGGGGGCAAACACATGTCTAAGGAGACGAGATAAACATAATTTTGTAGAAAATTGCAAATTGTCAATTTGTGTGCTGGCACCTTATTGATGTTAGGCGAAGTGGACAAGTTTGTGCACTCTATCCTAATCGTAATATAGAAAGTGTGTTGGGTATATATAAAAGTGTGAACTGTACAAATTGGCCAGATTGTCCTCAATCATTTGAGTTACTGAACTGTTGGTGTTTTTTTGTGAGCGTAGGGCATAAGATAAGTATTTTATTACAAGCACGTACATTATCTCACACGAACAATTCCATTATCGCAATGATTACTTTTATAGCTTGGCAATGCAAAATGTCGTCATTCAAGTCTACTTTTTTAAGGATTCGCCAGATGTGCATACACGAAATACTACATTCACGTGGGTGTAATGGTGGATGGAGCGCACCAGCAACAAACACCAAATTTGCAAGCAAACCAAGCATATTACAGGACCCTGTTCATGGCGGTAAGACAGAGCTTTTATACACCAATAAATATGAAAACTTGTTAGTTGGGCCCTTGCTCATACCAATAAACGTTTCGGTAAACATGCAGTAGCAATACGATTGTGTAAAAAATCCGTCCTTAGCAATGTTTACATGTTTCTTGGTGATACAATACAACAGAAGACCTAAGTTTTTGTGCTTGCGATTTTACAAAGAAAAAAGATTGTACTTGTGACAAATGGAACTTTCGTGAAGGATTTTTGATATTATGATTTTCACGAAATCGCAAATCACAAGCATTGTAAATATACATAATTCTAAGCGTCTTGAAATTATCCGGGAAACATAACACCACGTTGTGCATCGTTCTTGCACTATATATTTTCTAGCATACGCTGGGAACACAACTTCTCTTTCCTAGAAAGCTGCTAGAGCAAAGACAGGGAACAGTTATCTCAGTTCCCTATCAAAGCTGTTCCATAGGTCGTCTCGAGAGGTTAGACAAACTGAAAATGACCACAAGCTCAATCCAGTCGATCACACTCGATTAAACTCTGACAGTAGCAAGGAGGCTTCTAGCGAAAATCCTGGCTTGCCGGCCTATTCAAGAATGCTTCCTGAATATCACATCAATAAAGCAAGGGTTCGTACAGTGACAAGCCTTCGACTGATATTTTCTAGAAAGGTTCCATACAATAATTACATTTTACCACGTGTATTTTTCGCAATTGTTCTAAAAGCAGCGCCCAAGCTGCATGGCGTCACGCTGTGCAAGTTTAGAAGTTAAATTTTTTTTTTGAGCTGCAGTTTAGGTTTTTTCCATTAATTGTGTTATGTCAATGTGAGGTTTGTTGTGGAAAGGAGGCAAATATATTTGTATTATGGAACCCGCTGTACAATTTTGTTGTGGAACGAATAAATAAACGTTGCTGGCGTTTTCCCGCAGCCAAAACACATGACAGCAGTCTTTTGCCAATTCTGACAACACTTGCGAACGTTTTAGGATGAAGCGTTGAGTGTATAGTGATTATGAGGAGAAATGAGCACGTGATACAGGACACAATAGTCAGCATGAAGACAAATTTTAGTGGAAACTACGCCTGGTAGGTCGTTATTGTACAATTGGAAAAGTAAAGCCCTAGAACGGAACACTGAAGCACTCCTGAAAATACATGTGTTTCGGAAGAATGTAATCTTTGAAAAGTTACATACTGACGACAATTTGAAATAAAACTTCCAATCCAGTCAACAAGCAGGCGGTTCTTTAGAAAAAAATGAGCTTATATAGCAGTTTTGTCTAAACGGCGGCTTTGGCGTTTGGTCATGCTTGGACTTAGGCTTTTGTTGGCCCGTCTGCGGTGAATCCTCTTGCGAATTTGCTCCAGCTTTTCTCATTTTCTCGGTAAAGTCTGACTCTCTTGACTTCGGCTCGTTCTCTTCCTTTGGCTTAATCCGGGGCCCTTCGTTCTCCTTTTTTGTCTGCTGTCGACCACTGTTTACCGATTCTTCTGGTAGATTTTCTTCGGTTTGGTCGTCTTGTGATGATTGGTCTTTTGGCTTTATATCTTTCGCGACCTCCCCTTTTTCCTGCGTATCCTTATGGGTCGTCTTTTGTTCCTGCTCTGTTTTTTTGGTCTTCTTTGTTTTCTGTCCTTCTTCGCTGCATTTTCCTGCGATTTCTTGCGCCATTCAGGTTCTTATCTTCAATCTCTCCGTCTCGCTGTCTGTCTGTTCTCGCAGCACCTAGTTGGGAGTTCATCTGCTTTTCTTCGTCTTCATGTTTTGGCTTTCCTTCACCTGTGGCAGATGTCTTGGGCTTCTGTTCTTCGCGTTCTTTCGTAGTAAATGCTTTATGATCTCTGGAGTTCTCGGCGTGCGATGGGGCTTGTTTGAAAAGTGGGTCTACGTGTCTTTTACAAGCTGCAACCGGCACGACTTCTGGTTTCTGTAGAACCGGGGCGTCCTTTGCCTCCGCCGTGGTTCTTTCGGTTGAGAGCAGGTGACGGCTTCTCTCATAGACGTTCGTCTCCTGTGGTAGGTAATGCTAGAGGGGTGGCAATGGCTGGCGTCGTTCCGTTCCTTCGTTCGCATCGAATGTCAATTTTCTTGCCCCGGTAGTGGGCAGGCAGTGTTTCGAACCTGATGGTGGTTTGAGGCTTTGGTTGTGTGTGCCGAAAATCCGTTATCGGCCCCGTTTGAAACGTTCGGACTGCAAGATGTCGTGCAGTAGGTCGTCGACATCATTATGCATGCTACCCAGTAGCATGCTGCACAATTCACGAGAACTCAATCCCTATGTAACTTGTTCTCACGTATCTGTGAGGTCGAGGTTGAGTTCGTGGCAAGGGCGCATCTTCGTATCGAAATAAGCAGCCTTGCTCTCGTTATACTGCTGGACGCGTTCTCGCATTCTGCGCCATCTTTCCGCAACGCGAGACTGGCTGACTAAGGTAAGACGGAAACGTACCTCGAAATCTTTCCATGATGTGACCTAGGAGCTCCTTACATGTTACTAGTCCTTAGCAGCTTCTACAAATTGGTCCTTGGCTGTTTTAGGCGTGTAAGCAGTGGACTCCCCGTGAAGATTCGACGTTTCACGGATGATTTCGATCCATTCACGTGCTGAAGGATTGTCTTAGCTGTCGGAGGGACTGATGTTGCGGCTAAAGTCAGTGATCTTCTGAAACGTTGGCGCTGGTCGAGGCTGTGCTGCGCCGGTCGAAACCATTCGGTCCAGCAAGGTCGGTAGCAGTTTTTTTTCTTTTCTTGAAGAGCTGTGATTGTGACTGCATCGTGGGAGTCCATCTCTTCACCACCAATCGGGTTGACTCGTTCGCGGTACATTTTATACAGGGTTAACCAGTTCTGATTAATGATCAAACTCACGTTTACCATCTGTTGGCGGCTGAATTACCATCCCACTTCTAAAATGTTTGCTGCAACGGCGTCCTTGAAGCACACAAAACGTCAAATAAGGATACTTTACTGAAATTTTGAGAAAAATGCACAAGCCACACAGGCTATACTCAAACGCCACACAGACTACAAAACGCAACACAGGCCATAATGATGATGATGAACCTTCGGCTTTGCTGGCACTAAGTTTGCGTGAGTCTCTCTGAACATCATCGTTCTCTTTCACTGTTCACGACAAGACACGTGCACTTCGTGCAGGCGTTAGCAATTTGCCAACAGATGGGATACAAATTAATTGCGTACTGCATTCCAGTCTGCTAATACATTCACTCTATGCCCTCACAGCGAAACTGATTTATTTACCTCGCTGGCTTTCTCGGTCGGCACACTCGAAGGTCAGAATGTTTTGTTTTGCTATACGTTTGAGTCATTCTAAACATGCTCCACTGAGCTCGTGCATGTACGAAAAATGAATGTGAGAAAATGAGTTCGGGAATCTTAACTAATGTACTTGAGGTGCCTGCGAATTGTTTCACAAATTTCTCAAATGCCAGGCATGAAAGCGGGAAACTGAGTTAGGGAACGTTAACTGATGAACGCGAGGTGCTTGTGCGCCGTTTCAAGAGTTTCTCGAACGCGAAGGATAAGAAGCAATTTTGTGTCTTACGTTCACGGAACAGAGAAAACGCTCACCGCACACGCAGCTCGAAAATTCTTCCGGTCTGCTAACCGCTGAAATTCCGCGTGGTGCACTCCCCCCCCCCCTCTTTTCTCGCAGTGCATGAATGGGAAGCTTGAAGGTTGCGATTGTCCGACGGGGAGGTTATACATTGGTTGACCCTTAATGTACGAGCGGCTTGATGAAGGTGGTGACCAGTTCCGAAGCTGTCTATGCGAGCGCTCGCTGTATTCGTATCTCTGGCCACATTACTGGCAGTATTTTTTCCCGTCATATGATAGGGTGGGTCATTGGACCCTTTAAGACAGGAGTTCGCTGAGTGTTGGATGCGGCTCGCGCAGCGCAATGGTGCGCTCTCCGGCACAACCCTCAGCTCCCATTGTGACTTCATGTTTCGTTTGTTAGTACAGTAAGAGCTTTTTATTTTTTATTTTATTTGCAATACCCTCAGGGCCAAACGGCATTACAGAGGGGAGTGGTAGCGAAAGAAAAGACAAACATTTTTACAAATGCCGTGGTGAATCTAACATCGAGCAGAAGATCTTAATTATACAGGTTAGCTAACAGGCTTTATAGCAAACAAAAAACGCAGGAATGATGAGAATTACATCAGGACAGAAAAAACGACAAGAAAATAAATACTGTACAGGAACAACACAGCATCGGGTAATACAATACTTTGTTGGCTGTAATTACACATAAGCTTAGACACTTTTGAAATGAAAGTTATTTACAATGGTTGCCGCTGATGCGGAAAGCCGGTTCCACTCCTCAGAGGTGCGAGGTATGAAAGACTGAGAAAAGCCGCGAGTCCTGCAAGAAGGCAATCCGACCTTATGGGAATGATCCAGCCCGGGTGAGATATAACTAGGAGGCAAGATAAGACCGTCCCGCAGCGATGTGTGATGAAACAGCTTGTGAAACAAGTGGAGACGAAACTATTTACGACGGGATGAAAGTGAAGGTAAGTTGAGGCTAGATTTCATGGCTGTTATGCTAGCTGTCCTGTTGTAATTAGAAAGTATAAAACGAATTGAGTTATTCTGTACCATTTCAAGAGAGTGTATTAGGTTGGCGTGACTAGGATCCCATACTGCAGCGGAATATTCAAGTTTAGGTCGTATTAGTGTAGTGTAAAGAAGAAGTTTCAAGAAAGAAGGGGCCGTTGAAAAGTTGTGGCGGAGGTAACCTAACATTCGGTTAGCATTTTTAATGACGTAATTACAGTGAACAGTCCAGGTCAGATCAGTTGTTATACGCAACCCAAGGTATTTATAGTTTGTCACAGATTGAAGAGGGGTGTTATCAAGGTAATAGTTTGGAAGTTGATGGTTTGCTCTCGAAACACGTAAACATTGGCATTTCTTATTGTTTAATTCCATGAGCAATGTTTTACACCAAAGAAGAATGGAGTTGAGATCATGT